ATATCAGTATAGTTTCGAGTTTCATATATTTTTGTTTTTGCGAGCTTCCTTTACTTTACAATTAATTTTTATATTGAAACTGTTTTTTTAATGATATGTTTGCTCTCTTTCCCTCTAGGTCAAGCTATCTTTGCATTAACCTATTGATTTAAGCTTTTTATTGTTATACACTATAAAATTCGTCATGTTTTTGTGAATCGGAGTCCTTAAAGCTCTTCCTCGTGTTACGATGTTCCGGTTCCCGAGCTTAAAACATCAAGAGATTGAAGTACATGTGACTTGTATTTGTCAAATGGATGTACAGTTAGGATAGCATTGAAATTGCTTAGGCCCATTTAAAATGATCGTAAGTGAAAATGGTGGTGAGTACGCTGAATAGGATTCAGTGTTGGTGTTAGCTACAAGAAATGAGTGAAGGGGATAAGAGATGCTACTATGGAATACTGGCCTTTATCTTTAAAATTTACGTCAAGAAAAAGTTTAATGACTGACGGTTCCTAATGTTAGTAAGTTCCTTGTTTAAAATACTTATTTATCTCTTGGATTGGAGAGGCAGACGTTTCTAAATGATTTTATTGAGGACAGCTGAGTAGGGGGGCCACACTAAAAATATTAACACTGCTGAGCTATGGTTAATTATTAAGCGAAATCGATATGCGATCGAGATAGAGAATGAAATAACTTTAGTCTTAGTTGAATGAAAAACTTTCTGATTGGTAAGAGTTTTTGATTGAGTGATTACAAATTCATTTGAGATTGAGATTCTTTCAGAGCAGGCTTATTCTTGACAATGCGCTCCTTTCGTACCACAGGGTTCGGAGGATATTTATTTTCTGAGCGTCTTCATTTTATTTCATTTTTAATGCCCATGTCTTCATGAGCCCTTTCCCCATCTTTCTCCGACATGTTTGTTCTTGTTTATTTTAACTGCTGATGCTGTATTAGCAGGCCCACGAATCTTTCGAAAAAACTACAGGAATATAATTCATATCTTGATAAAACATGACATTAATCTTTTATTATATGCTCGTATTGCTCCCATATGGCTGCTGAAGTCTTATCAAAAATGTGTCTTATCGAAAGCTCTTATAATATTAGTCATTATTTCACTGGTCTATCAAGTAGGTACTGCCGCCCTTGCTGAAGTTTCTTTCTTTAAAACTTTATAAATCGGTTTTGAGTGTATTATCTCTATTCAACTACACTGTACCACTCTCAACAGGTTTATGCTTGTGGAATTTCTAAAATGTGACTAATGCATTTTTGGGGAATCCTTATATCTATTTAATTTTATTATTAATTGCCTATTTTTTTAATTGCCTATTTTTTTAATTGCCCTTGGTGTATTCGATATGCATGTATATACGCTAATGCCCGTTCAGAAGTTCAATGCTCTAAACACCCTTCCTCGTTCTCGGGTGGTACGACGTGACCAAGCCTTCAATTATGTCTTCTCAGTTGCCAACGGGTGCACACACGGCCCCAGCCCCCAAATGCCTGGATATCCCGTAGAATGCGGTCAGGAGACATTTTCATCTGCTAAGACTCTGCTAACTCAATCCACTGACTCAAATGTTGCCATCACTGTTACCAACAGTGTGGAGACCTCAGTAACCGCAAGCAAACCATTCGGTGAACTTTCTCATCCTAGTTCACTCCAACTCATCAAAACAACCAGTCTAGCTGCTACATCGCAGACTCCACCCGCCCAAGCAACTCTAATTCATTCCATTCCTGTTTCTTCCTCTTTCACTGTGAATAAGCGGAAGCACCATTATAGCCACAAATGCAACCCTATAAATCAACTTACTCGGCTCAGGGCTCTTCACAGCCCACCCATTTATCCACATCCTTGCATTTCATCTACCCCTTCATCGTCTATAACCATCACTTCTCTTTACCCATCCCCTCATCCTACTGAACCCTTACCTTCTTCTCTTCCATCATCACCTCCCTCTATTCTACCAATCTCCCCTCCTCACTCCCATACTCATTCTCCTTCCTCTTCACCTCCTCCCCCTGCTTTCCAAAGCTGCTTGTCTCTTGCCTAAAATATTTACAGTGTGCCTATAATGACGATAGATTCTTCTTGTACTTTGAGAAAATAACTCGCAGCTCAATCTCGACAGCCTAAAAACGGCAAGAGAGCATCTGCTTGCACCTACCTGGATATGCTCAGTGCTCCCTCCTTGCAAATACGTTGACCACGACTCAGCCAGCCTAAGTTTGCTTGGTTTTTATAATCACATTTCACAGTTGGCGACCTCGCCTGCATGTGATTTGCAATCTGCATATTATTAAAAGCCATTTTCTTGAGGCATGACTAGGCGTGAACATCTGGGATTCTAATCTTTCCTCTCCTAGCGTATCTTATAAATAGCTTCATTTATTTTAGTTTTTTAGTTTTATTATATAAAATTGTAAAATTTTCTACCCTAGTGTTGATTATTTTATGCACAGTTTTCTAAGTATCATAATTCCTTCCCTTTCATGATTGTTCCTCTAAACTTTTGCTTCTACAATTTAGGTATCTTAAGCGCAATTTATGCTTTTCTGTGGTTAGATGGAGAGAGGGAAACCAAAAAAATAATTATTTCATCATTCCACTCTCCTTCCTGAGTTTCTGGTAGAAGGCTGTGCTTGCTTGCCTAGCCAGCTCTTTATTGAGTATTCAATAGTTTGTCACTAGA